TAATGAAAAAAAGTGTGTTTAAAATACAATTTTTCTTACCCTATTAATTGCACATTTTGAAAAGAAATGTAGTTCGATATTGTAAAATCCAATAAGAGTTTGGTGGATAATATAGGCACTAATGATACTTTTCTCCATACAATTTATTGAGCACATGGTAATACCTGTTTATACGTCAGAAGTTATTTTCTTTTACAAAGGGGTGTATACATTTTGTCATATCTATGCGTGGTTAGGTAATGAGATTACAGATTTCCTATATAATTTATTTTTATTATTAAAGGAACAGATGCGTTACTACAATACCACCCGTTCTCTTTCTTGAATCAAACGTTACACTTTTAACCCCGAGCACATAAGACTTTTTTTAATGCGGTGGAGAAGACGGGGGAGTGCAATATCCTCATTGAAACCGAACGAAAAATAATTCACCGAGATATTGACCTTGAATGACGTTGCGGCATTCGGGTATACTTTTTCCTCTAAAAAAAGGCAGAATAATATTTAAGGTCGCGCTTATTAAGTCACGTTGTAGACTTAATGAGTAAAAGAGGGACGGTTCGATATGTATACCGACCACTCAAACGACGTTTTTTTCTCGCGCAGAAAACGTTAGCGGGCGAGAAGCGGACGACAATGTTAAGAATTTTGAATATCTAGAAATAGATTTTAAAAATATTGTCTAAAATAATCAGTGCCGAGGCCAGGTTATTTAGCGCCCTAGGCAAAACATTTTACAACTCCCATCCCCTCCCCCCCGGAGCGCAAAATTGATATTTCGTCCAGGGTAATGAAATAGCTCGCTGCGCCTTTATATATTAACATGTCTATAGTTTATATAACAGAGTTATTAAATATTACCATTTAATAATGCCTTCATTTTTGCACCCCCCCCCCCATGGATAGAGCCCTATCCATATCTATATATCTTATCAATATTCTCTATGAACTCACAATGACCCGTCTATAAAAACGGGATTATTATTCCGCTGACAAGAAAAAGAGAACGGCGGTCATAGGATGTTAAGATTTTTTAATATATATATATATATATATATATATATATATATATATATATATATATATATATATATATATATATATATATATATATATATTATTACAAATTGCTATGTTTAGATTTTTTATCTTGGTATTATTCAATGCAGTTCAATTATTCAATTAGTCTTACACTGAACTCTGTTACACAATAACATAAGCTGTTGCAGTGTAAGTTTCAATCGATTTCAATCATATCGCACACAGTGGTATACTTCAGACCGTTAATAAGAGGAATGGTGGGGAGGGGAAGGGCGAGTATTATTAGGCTAGATTTTAGCAAACAAAAGCACACGCGAGTGTGGCGTAGTCCGGTTTTTTGAGGTTGGGAGAGCACTGAATACTTGAAAGGGGGCCATATTATTTTACTCTGGTAAATTTATAGCCATATATATATATATATATATATATATATATATATATATATATATATATATATATATATATATATATATATATATATATATATGAAAAATCAAAAACTCGATTTTTTAAAAAGAACAATACACAACATTCGTGATATATCAGCTTCTTTAGATTATAATTGTTTTAAAAAAACATGAAACAAAATTTGTTTTTGCTAATTGAGTCTCGCTAATTACCTGTGATTCCGCAGGTATGTCTCGCATTTTCTTCTCGCAGATTACCACCTCGCCATTTTGCTTTCCGCGTCTCGCAATTTCCCATCACCCCTTCTAATTATGTGGTTTCTTAGAATTTATTTATTAAATATATTAAACCTTTTAATGTATTAGACATACGGAAATAATCTAATACAGTTAAGTTTATAATAAGTACACACTACTACGTGACTTTCCAGTACCCCCACGCATACTCATTGCATTACGTGCACAAATCACTCCTACCCAGACCATTACCTACAACTTAAGTACACACATTCTTCTCCCTGTTTCACCAAACACGCCCAGTCACATAGAAAACAATTCAGGTCAATGTAGCAAAGACAAATGCGCAATCGGAAAAATGCGCAAACAAAAAACATACCAATACACTTTAATTTTGTCATATTTCGTGAAAATATATATATATATATATATATATATATATATATATATATATATATATATATATATATATATATATATATATATATATATATATATATATAATTCTCTTCATGGGGACCATGCGAGACACCACGTAAATGCACGTCGTTACTTCCCAGCTCTCTAGGCATATCGCTACCACCCTCAACCCCCACCTGTCTGGTGAGCTATGGTTCACGACGAATGTCTACAATGGTAGAGCCAGGTCGAATTAGTGACTGCTATTAGGGACAGAAAATTTAGTATTTAAAGGATTTGAAACTATGGGGAGGTAACAATTTCTGCTTGATATTTTCATTGTCGTCTGTAAACTATTATCACGGACGGCTGCTTTGGCGGGCCGTTGGGGGGGGGGGTGTAGTGTCGAGTTAACAAATTGTGAATTACTGAAAAGTAGAAAATCAAACAATTAAATAGCGGCGTATGCTACGCTGCGGGTCGGCTCGTATGTTTAATTATGCTACAATGTACATGTGGTAATTCTTTCTAATGTCTATAAATGCTCGATTTAAGGAAACAAAAATGCCCTTGTGCACTTTTTTGTGCGCAGTTTTGTTTTCCATTGCGCTCACTCCCGTTCACAGAATGGGTTAGCTAATGTTTAAACAGACCCACTCATACACAATGTAATACAGGGGACGTAACCCAAATGTTGTTCCACCAGCTTCACCCAGGGCGGACCATGCACACGGCGGACGTTGCTAGAAAAAATTCTGCTGCTGCTGTTGCTGGCGGTGGTTGCCGCCCTTATTGCTGTTGTCATCGTCTTAATCGTGGAGAAAAATAAATCCCCGAGCAGCGCCCAGGTGTCTCCTGCCATAGCGGCGTCAGGTGATTTTTTCTGTCCTCTCATAACGTATGTCGTGCTAATATTGTTTCACAACTAGAGGCATTGGCGGTGTGTCAGGTGATTATTTCTGTCCTCTCATAACGTATGTCGTGCTAATATTGTTTCACAACTAGGGGCATTGGCGGTGTGTCATATATCATTGTGTGTATGAGCATAGTCCCTATTTTGTAGAACAAAATTTTGTCACATTGGTAGATCGTGGGTTATATAAATCGTAAATAAATTAATGGGTTGTTATCGATAGAAATGACATTTAATGTTATATCACGTATAGAGGAAGGGAAAAAATGTCACATTTTTATAAAAAATTATAAAAGTTATAACACTCCATTTTCTGAAACGCGTAGCACGCCATTTACTTAAACGTGTAACACGCCATTTACTTAAACGTGTAACACTCCATTTACTTAAACGTGTAACACGCCATTTACTTAAACGTGTGACATGCCATTTACTTAAACGTGTAACACGCCATTTACTTAAACGTGTAACGCGCCATTTACTTAAACGTGTAACACGCCATTTACTTAAACGTGTAACACGCCATTTACTTAAACGTGTAACACGCAACTTACTTAAACGTGTAACAACTTAGCATGGGTGTGAAACCTAACGTAGATAATGTTGTCAAACAGACCCAGTCATACACAATGTAACACAGGGGACATAATCCAAATGGTGTTGTTTTCCCAGCAATAATTTCTGACAGCATAACCTATTGCTTGTAATCCACAGATATCTGCATGTCTCAAGAATGTGTCAAGACATGTAAGTGCCAATTACATTTTAATTTCCCTGTCAAAAACATCTACACTGCACATTTGTTATTTAAAAACTTCTTGAAGTTCAACATGTTCATTGGCGTTTTCATTAAATGGTTCCTGTATATATATATATATATATATATATATATATATATATATATATATATATATATATATATATATATGTGTGTGTGTGTGTGTGTGTGTGTGTGTGTGTGTGTGTGTGTGTGTGTGTGTGTGTGTGTGTGTGTGTGTGTGTGTGTGTGTGTGTGTGTGTGTATAGGCTATTTAAAACACTTTTAAATCAAACGAGCGAAATTTTAATTTTACAATACACTAAGAATTAACTGTATAACTTATACAGACATAGATAGCTTGCTCGTATTCAAAGTATTGGAAGTATTGTAATCATGCAAAAAACTCGAAATCGAGATTTTCATAAATCTCGCTGTTTTACGCTTCCCTGAGTCGAAAAAACACAGTTTTACAATTGTGTCTGTATGTCTATGTGTGTATGTGGATGTTTGTGTCTTTCTGTCTTTCAACACGATAACTTGCGTACCGTTACAGCTAGGTTGATGAAATGTCATATATAAATATTATATCAAAGTTGTAGTTCTGTATCAATTTTTCTGCAATTTCCGATAACGTCAGTGGAACTTATTCTACTTTTAGTTTTTCAAAAGCCTATAACTTGAGTACTGCTTCAGATAGATAAACGAAATTTCATGTATAATTAAAATATTTAATTCTATGCCTTCTTTATAATTTTGAGCAATTTCCGTTACTAAATAATTTAATCGCTTTGGCTGCTAGCGCGTAGGTCTCAAGTTAGGACCTGTGACTGTAGAAAGTCCCTGAGTCTACCCAGCTCTGATTGGTACCTGACTTATGTTGGGGAAAATAAAGACTGACCACACCATCCCTTTATATGCCGAGGTCAAGAAACATATGACCTCTACTTCAATGGATCTCTAGGTCTAAAAAGCAATGTTTATTGTCATAGCTTGACATAAAAGTTGTATACAAACCAAAACTCTAACATAACCCCGCTTGACATGAACGTTTTATGTAAACCAAAACACTAACTATAACCCCGCTTGACATGAAAGTTGTACGTAAATCAAAACTCTAACCATAACTCCGGTTCACATAGAAGTTTTATCCAAACCAAAACTCTAACCATAACCCCGCTTGACATAAAAGTTGTATGTAAACCAAATTAATTGTCCTCTACCAGCTACTAGTGTGGCCAGCAAAATGGACTTAAAAACTGACCCGTGTGATAACTTCTATCAGTTCTCCTGTGGTCAGTGGCTCAAGGAAAACGTCATCCCAGATGACCAGTCCAGATTCAACATGTTTCGAGTCTTGAAAGATAAAGTGGACATCATTTTAAAAGGTATGAACGTTAAGAGATTCATTCATTTAACGCTGGAAAATGGTCGCTATTGGTCAGTTTCTATCACGTCTAACCCATATTTATATATTATATTGACAAAAAAGCACCTGTAATAGCTGTGATAAACTGCTGTTATAGAGTGAACGTTTTGCTTTGGTTCGTCAATTTTTTCCCCCTTAGAATTTAGAATATCTTTGTAGATCCAGTCATTGAATCTCTTTGTAGATCCAGACATTTTGACACTCGGTACCACCCAGTACCATTGGTAGACGACAAATTTGTATTTCGTGTAGAATATATTCTTATTTTTGTAATCGCTAGATACGATTCGAATGGCAATAATTGTAAAGAAAAGATTGTTGTCCATCGTGACTTATTAATCATCTTTGATAGATCATGACTCTGCTTATTGAACATCTTCTGTTGGAGTCTAAATTGAACATCTTCTTTTGGAGTCTAAATTTAACAGCTGCCATCATGAAGTTTGCCTACAGCTATCCATGCACACAACTATGGAGCAATTCAATCGAGCCTATCCGTGTATACAAAATAACAGTTTAAAAATATCAAACTAAGATGTTATTTCTCTCTAGATTTGTTGGAGCAACCAGATAAGCAAGACATTCCAAGCATTAAGAAAGCCAAGGATTTGTATGCATCATGCATGAACATGGGTAACTACTTCCTTAAATAATTTGTGTGTGTGTGTGTGTTTGTGTGTGCGCGCGCGCGCTCGTAAGTGCGTATGTGCGTGATTACGTGACACTAATTTATAAGTTTATATAACTTAACACTCCATTTTTGCAAATGCAGCAGTAATATATATATATAATTCTCTTCTTGGGGACCCTAGAAAACACCAAGCTGTAAGCGCGCCAAGCAGCCCCCTCTCTTCCTCTCTAGGCATATCGCTACCACCCCCACCCCCACATGGTCTGGTGAGCTGTGGTTCACGCTAAATGTTTACAATCGTAGAGTCGGGTTTAGTGACGGCTATTTAAAATTAGGGGAGGTAACTAAAAGGAGGCTGCTTTCACGGGGGGGGGGGTGGAGGGGTAGGGGGAAAAAGGGGTTTTAGTGTTTTAAAGCAAATATTTTCAGTGGCAGCATTGTTACAGTCGAATTCACAAAGTATGAATTACTGAAAAGTAAAAAATAAAACAACTAAATAGCGGCTCGTAAAATTATAAAACATGAAAGCCCCTCCCTCTGCCGATAAAAATAAAAAGCTGTTTTCTAGCCCAGATTTTTATCTACTTCAGACCAAATCAACAAGCTGGGAGATGGCCCAATCAAGCAATATCTGGCCGACACTTACGGCGGCTGGCCGTTGACAAACAGCTCTTGGGACGAGGGTAGTTTTGATTTGGCCACGACGATTGCTAACCTTCATCGAAACGAGCTCTACATAATAATTACGTTGTACGTCTCCTCAGACAACATGAACTCTTCCAGATACATCATGCAGGTAATTTAACTGTCAGAGTTCATAATTAAAGTTGTATTGTTAACAGGTGACATCATCGAATCGTGTTAACAAATGCAGAAAACGAACGCACAAAAATGGTTTTTAATTAAATCCAAAGTCATTAAAACAAAAACAGCGACAAACCTGTTTTAGCTACACGAATCTATGACCGTGCTAAAAATAAGGCTCCTATATGTCTTACTCCTATATCGCGCAGTAAAATAAAGATCTTATTACAATTTCGAATTTGTCTCAGTCTACAATTCTAAAAAAAATTTCAAAAGGTAAAAAGGCGAAGGTTATTCAATTGATTGACGTGGCTATTTGCGTCACAATGAGGGGAGTGGGAGGGTGGTTGCAGACCGCACCGGGTGACTCGATCCTATAGGGTGACACCAAAACAAAATCTAGTTACCTATAATGTTAATACATCACACATAGGGTTATTTGCTGCTCGAGAGGGTGACACTATCGGGGGTAGGGTGACCCTTATCATTTTAATACATCATACATAGGTTTATTTGTTGGTGGAGTAGGGTGACACCATAGGGTACCGCACCGGGTGTCACCCGACCTAGTGACGCCACTGAACGTGACGTTATAAAATTTGTGACAGCCACTATTCAGTTGCTTTGTTAGTGTATATCTTATACAAATATGTGTTTATTTTGGACTTTTTAAGTTTATAGGTAATTTAGGATTTAAAGGGAGGGGGACAACTACACTAAGGGGGGCGGCGTGGCCTAGCAGTAGAGCGCTAGACTGCTTATCAGAAAGTCTCGATCTTGAATCCGGGTTCAAGTTAGTAGAACTTTTCTGAGTCTACCCAGCTCTAATGGGTACTTAACTCATGCTAGAGACTAAAGCCAGCGTAAAGAGTAAAGCCAGCTGGGTATAGTGCTCACCACACTATCTCTTCATATGCCGCCGTCACAGAAACAGGTGAACACCATCATGTTTGAAAAGGGAACTTTGGTGCTCCCACAGAGGATACAATGTATGTTTTAAAAACTCTCTAATACATCTGTAGATAGTGGAGCTCATTTGTTTTTTAGATAGACCAGCCGTCGTCATTCGGCCTGCCAGGACAGAAGTATTACCTGGTGGAGAGAAACGACACAATGCTAAAAGCTTATGAAGAATTTATTTACGCTGTGGGTCACCTCATGGGATTCGCTAATGCTAGCACTGCAGCTCAGGATATCAAGGATATTGTCGACTTTGAGATTCAGCTGGCAAATGTATGTTGCTTGCTTAATATTTGTATTAACAAGTATAGACTACCTAGATAATACTAACAATTCTATGTTCTATAACGTTTGAAGTTTCAAAGTCTTTAATATTGTCCGTTGATTATTGGGTAAATATTTTCCTGTAGATATCAGTCCCTGATGAACAACGAAGAGACAGCAAAAAATTATACAACCCCATGACGCTGAGAGAAATTATTGGAAACTACAGTCAAGTAAGTGGTAGAGATTCTTTCAGGCATTTCTCCGGGAAAAGTAAGGGTATCCCCCACACTACTCCAAGACAAAACAGACAAAAATGTATGTAGAACATATATATACTTTAAACAAATAATCCCCTGAAAAAACAATGTCTGAAAGAAACCCTCAAACGTGGCTGGTATCAACATTAAACGGGTCTTTCTTACAACTGCATCAACTGCAGTACCCTTTAGTTGAAACAGTAGTGAAAACTGTGTTGTTGTTTGTTGTTCCATGTAACATTGGGTGGATGTCAGGCACACAAGAGAACTCTTACCTTTTGCCTACCTGAACATTGTGACACCTGCTCCTAGTTGAACCTATGTGTTGGCTTGTGAAACATGAGGCAGATTGTTAGTTACAAGATGGATTCTTCTGCTTGAATTTTACTGCATAAACATTGCGGGCACTTTACAATTTGATTGTTTTATAGATGCAACATATAAAGCAAGAAGTCCAAGATTAAACACTATATACAAGATATAGCTACAACACATCACAAAACACATAAAATAAAACACATCAGATAAAACACATCACAAAACACATCAGAACAAACACACAAAACATACAAGAAAAAACACAGCACAAAACACACACATAAGACAAAACACAAAACACATTAAATAAGACACATTTGATAATACACATCATACGATTTATTTTATTATGAGAGATAAATGAAAGATAATAAAAAAAGCCCACGTTTATATTCATATTTTTCTCAGCAATTCAATTGGACAAGTTTTTTCAATCAAATTTTCTCAAGTCCCGAGATCGGCCTTACAGATGTGACTGGTGATGAAATTTTGATCAACTTGTCTCCCTTGTACTATGAGCGTTTATCAAAGGTGCTAGAAGCCACACAAAAAAGGTTGAAATTTAAAATATTCAAAATATTAATCTCAAGATAGAACTGCAATAATATAGTAGATGTTTGAAATTTAAAATAACCACATTCTAAATCTAACGACAATAAAACTTAACTTTTTCAGGACGATAGCTAACTTCCTGATGTGGCGTCTGATCAAGCAACACTTTGAAGCTATGGGAGACAAATATCTGGCTGCAAAGGCTGTGTATGATAAGGCAAGGACACTTCTTCTTCTTCTTCTTCGTTCTTAATTTTTAGTGTTGGAAGGGATCGAGACTTATCTGCCAGAGGGTTGAACTCAAGATTTTTTCTAATTTAACAACCATGAGCTTTTGCCGACTCGACCACGCCTCCATCACAATTAAGGATACGTGCAGAGTTTCTTCAAGGCATCTCTTCGGGGGGGGGGGGCCGAAAAATTTTTACCGCCCCCGAACAAAATGAAATTTATATAACTTATATAGAAAATATATACTTTTAACCGTGTCCACCCCCCCCCCCCCCGAAGAAAGTCTACCGCCCCCCCCCCCCCCCGAAAATTTCAAGTGCCCCCCCCCCTGGAGAAAAAAGTCTGGAAGAAACACTGGATACGTGTCAACTGGTTATGCGCCATTGAGGCCATTGACTCCGATTTCAGCCTGCTTTTCTTTTTGGATTTGGTTCGATAGCCTATGTCCAACCAAGGACAAACTATAAGGCAGCAGTTGTTTGTCCCCAGCTAACGAGCCTCATCTGCCCGAGCGTTCGAACTCGAGACTTTTCGGTTTAGCAACCATGAGCTTTACCGATTTGACCACGCCGACCCCGCAAGGACACTGACATTATGGCCCTACACAATAAAATAAGTTGCTAGACATCAGGGTAGTTTTAAGATAGAGTCAAAATATGAAGACAGTGTTTAGGATCTATTTTTTGACATTTTAGTTATTTCTTTATCTTAAACATATGTGAATCTAGGTTGGATTATGCTTCTGTAGTGTGGAGCGGCAGCTTCATAACTAAGCAGCGCCCTCTTCTATCTTTACAAAAAAGGGCTATAAAACTGGTTACTGGCTTGTCTAGTAGTCTGGATTCTTTTCTTACAACTAAAATACTTCCATTAAATAAAAAGACAATATATACTAAATCAATTTTCTTATATAAAATATTCCACTAACATAAAATTAAATCGTCGTCTTAATTTACCATTCCCATATTCAACTTTTTTTCCAAAAAACATAGCCTACTCTGGTTCTAATTTGTGGAACAATCTTCCTAATAAAATAAAGCTATCTAGATCTAAAAATATATTCAAATCTAAACTAAAGCTAAAATTATTTAATGTCCTAACTGACTCATTGTAACATTTCTCATTCATCTATTATATTCTCTTTTTTATCTCATTTTGTATCATAACTATGTAACATTGTTTCTTTATTCCACATTTTTAGTGCTATGTTATTGAATTGTTTTATTTCTTTAAATGGTTAATTTAATGTGAAAAAAGGCCTTTGTGCCTACAATTGTAACCGTTTTTTTGAATAAATTTGAATACATTTGAATTTGGTGGAAGGTTTTTAAAATCCTTACAAAAAATTAACTAAATGTTTCATTTAAAATCCTAAAACGTGAGTTCAAAATCACATTATGGACTAGATCTATTTATAGTAATCATTTTATTTATCTAGGATTATTTTTCTTATTCCCAAAGTGTTTCATCATATAAATCATAAAATCAGAATTCAACACACTTAAAGACTGACACTGAAATCTACCTGTGTATATTATGTAAATCACATTGCTTTTAATTTGTTTTAGATTTCTAATAATTTATTAGATAATTGATCTGAAATTTTCTTTATTTTTTTTTATTGAATGAAATTATATTTTAGTTTTAAAAGAAAACAACTGATGCCCTCTATGATTTAAAAAAAAAGCAGATTCTAACTCACAGCCGTGCAGGTTTACAGTACACACTTAAAAGTGGACTTAAATAATTTTTATGACCACAAACCTCTTAATGTTATTTTGATTACATACAATATGATTTTAATAACATTTTTTTAACAAACAACAGGTCGTTTATGGCACCACTGCTAGAAAACCAAGGTACAAGATTTGTGGTTCCTACACAACCTCAGTTCTCTCCCTTCCTGTTGGACAACTTTTTATCAAAGACAACTTTGATGTTCAAGCAAAGAATATTGTAAGGACTTTAAAAATTTGAAAGAAAAGTTATTTTAAAGTTAGCTTCTGTTTATAAGTATTGAACTATGTAAAGTTGAAGGCATGGGAACAGATCTTTGAAGGACTTTTGGTATAAATATAGTTCAATAAGCCATGTAAATGTGAACCATAATGTAAACTGATTGACTGTAAAATATTACTTCCCCTGTGCAGGCATCTGATATGATAACACGACTCCAAGCTTCCTTTAATGAACTTCTGGCTTATGTGGACTGGATGGATGAAGACACTAAATTAGTAGCCAAGGAAAAGGTAACTGTTCAAATTTTGTTCTGAGGTTATGTTTCATGTTTTGGCTGATCTTTTAAATAGTTTTTGACAACATTAAATTAAATTAAAATAATTAATAATGAAAACATAATATTTTAGTGTAATTAACAGGTTTTTTCAACATTTAAATTTTAAAGCTACTTAAAAGCTGATTAACAATGTAATTTTTTTTTCTTTTCTTAGAATGCTTTTTTATCACCAAAGATTGGTTATCCTAAGGAGGTCCTCAATAATACTTACCTAGAAGAAGCATATAAAAATGTAAGCATTTAAGATAATTAAATTAATTATATTTGTTAATTTTGAAAAAGTTTTCTTAATTATATGGCTATTACTTTTTTGCTTATTTCTATGTTAAATAATCATGGAAATCTCTTTGTCATGAATTATTATATCAAATTTGCTACAAAATAATTTAACAGTTAAGGCCCCTAAAACCACTCCTGCCATTTTACCTTTTCTTCTAACCTAGTTTTGTGTAGGCTTCATAAAATCCATAATTATGTTCTATTATCAAACATCTCTGTTCACAGCTAACATATGATGTTAAACATTTTTTCAACAATATCCTGATTAACAAAAGAGAAGATTTCTTTGAAAGTTTTCGACAGCTGAGGAAGGAGGTTGATAAAGAAAAGTAAATATTTTGTATTTTTAAATAAAGAATGCTTTGTCACACATGTCCTACATTTTAGATAACTCTAACATATTAACTTGTCTAATTTTTGTGTTGCCTGTTTGGTGTCAAATTTTGTTTAAATCCTGGCCATTTTTGTCTTTTTGAAATGTTTCTTAGTTACTTATAATCCTAAAACCATACATTTTAACAAACAGATGGGCTATAGCACCATCAACGATAAATGCCTACTACAACTCATTAAAAAACCAGATCAGTAAGTTGCTATTTTTTATGTTTTCAAGTAGTATTCCCTTTATTTAATTGTATTTAGAAGCTTCTTTAATAAAAGTTTCCTGTGTGTGTAAATGTGAACAAAATTCTTTGAATTATTCTTCTTGCAGTGTTTCCTGCAGGCATCCTTCAACCACCATTTTTTAGTAAGAATTTTCCAATGTAAGTTACGTGCACTCAACTTGTTTGTATTTGTAACAACAATTTTTTTTAATCAACTGCATCAACAAAGTTTGAGAAATGGGATGTAAAAGACAGTTAAACTTCCCTCTAGTATCAAACTTTAATTCTACTCTTAGTCATCCAAGTTGACTTAATTAGTAAACCAAACAACACCACTTAACTTACTTGTGCATTTAAAGGATAAACAACATTTATTATGTTTAGGGTAGTTTTAGATATCAATGATCTAATTTATGATAACAACTCTTATGAGCTGTTGAAACATTCACATAGCCCTCGCTCAAGTTGATTAAATACATTTAAACTCATTAAATAATCTTTCTGAAACTGACATAAGCTGCACAATTTAAAATAGTATAAAGCAAGAAACATAAACAGTTTAAAAAAACCTCATTACCATAATATGGTTATTGACTGTGAAGCTAAAATAGTCTTTGAGTTTCTAAAAATGTAATTGGTTAATAAAAGAACATATTTTATTGTTCTTCTGATGTCTTTAAATGTTATTTGCTGTTCATTCAAAACTGTACTGCTATCAATGATTTTCAATTCTGTAATTGTGCAAAATAATTTAGATTTAAGGGGGGACCAGTACTTAAAAATCGCATTTTCATTATCTTTTTGCTTATGTATATTTAATAGTCTAATGCAACTCTAACATCCCATCAATTACTTGAACTAATCTACTGTACTCAAAAAATGTGTTGAAATACTTATTTTAGTGTTTATAGATGCCTAGTTTTGATAACATTTTATTTTTTACAAAAATAAGCATTGACACTTTTTGGCCTACTCCAAATTTTCTAAAGAAGAAATATTAAAAACTGTCTTACAGAATACAGTGAAACTTGCACAGTCTTTACAATATAGGTTGTTCTGCAAACTGATAGAAGCTTTTAATGATACCTTTCTTTAAGTTTAAACTCTGTTAATCAAAGTTTATTTTTAGCAATAGCAATATGATTTTTTTTTAAATGAACATTATGAGATGATAACTTTTTCAGTTGTGGTGCAATTTAATGACAAAAGAAGACGCACTTAGCAGAATTAAAGTAGGAGTTCACAGTCCAGGTGAATTCAGGTCAGTGGCCAAAAAATGTCTTTTGATCCTACATAATATTTTCATTTAAGATAACGTTTTCTAACCTCTTTGTAAATTATGTGTAACAGTGGCATAGCGAGGTCGGGTGTCACCCGGTGCGGCACTTAATGGTGTCACCCCCTCAGAGGCGTAGCACCCCTTCCCGGGGACAAACTTTCAAGTTTTCGATTTGCCCCCCCCCCCTCAAACTGTCAATTTGCACCCCCCCCCTTTAAGTTTTTTGATTTCCAGCCCCCCCCCCCCCCTCAAACTTTTTATTTGCACCCCCCCTCAAACTTTCGATTTGCACCCCCCTCAAGTTTTTCTCTATATATTTTGCTATTTTTTTGCCTTGGTGTCACCCCCCTAAATGGTGTCACCCTGTGCGGTCCGCACCCCCGCCCCCCCCCCCCTCGCTACGCCCCTGATGTGTAATGATACGTAAAATTTAATTCAAAAAAATTAAAAATATAAAAAGTTCTTTTCCTTTCACAGAGTTATTGGAAGTGTCCAAAATTCCAAGGAATTTTCTGAAGCATTCAACTGTCCCCTTGGTTCCAACATGAACCCACAGAAGAAATGCTCAGTATGGTAACCTGTTGTTAGCCCTGATATGTTATGTTATAAAAGTGATAACACAGCCTGGTGACGATAACCTCAGCAGTCTTCACTTTTGTCTTAACTCAATTTTAAATTTCATTACAACTCTGATGATGAAACTTCCATAAATCAGACTGAATGTTTACAATATCTGTTCTTTGCCAACTTTAATAAAAACTCTATTGTAAAAACAGATGGCTCTTCTATTCACATCAGATTAGTTTTCTAATACTTTTCAATTTTGCTATAGTTATAAAGAAAAACAAAATGTACTAAACAATCCACATCCATCTCTGTTTGTAAAACTTCAGTCGTTCTATTGAAATCATCCAGACAGCATTTTCACATGTAGAAATGAGTAGGTATTGTGGATCTGAGAAATCCTGTAATCATTTTCCTCTAACATTTTTATGTTATTTTTGTATTTTATTTTATTAAATTATTACACATAACAGAATAGAATTAAGTTATCATTTGTATCAAGACATAAAAACTGTCAAGAATATATATCTTTATATTTTGCTTTATTTTCAATTGATTTATTTATAAGTTGCAAATTTAAGTATTATTGTTTTTTTCTAAATTAACACTTTTTATTTAAGTATTTTATAAAATATACTAGAAAAAAAATTAATATTGTAACCTTTCTGTTGTTGTTCTTTTATTGCTGCTAAATAAAGCACAATTTTTCTTCATTGTATAAAATCCAAAAAGAATTTTTTTTTTGGTTTGTAGAAAACGCTTGAGGAAATGTTAGTGACTATTAAAAACAATTATATTATGTATTCTGCTTTAATAATGTTGCTTGTGAAAACCATATTCGCTGTTATAATAAATATTCTAATTCCTAGATTGATTTTAAGTAGTATTCATTTGATGTTATAATTTATTTTTGTATCAAAATAATTTTTAAAATTTTGGCAGCTTTTATGAAATTGTATGTAGATGATCAGTTTATTGAGTGTTTTGCAAATAATATTTATTGTAATGCTTAAGCTTTTTTACATTTGTAAAAATTATATTATTATTTAAGATCTGCCGGTAAAAGTAATTATTCAGATGTCACATATTTTATGTTAAACAAGGAAAATAAAATAATTTTTCAAAGACTTATTACCATGGAATCTTCAAAAAATTTCAAACAATGAAAAACTCTGCTTTAGGTTACCGTATATCATGTAAACCAATACATTTTTTTATTTTCATAAAAAAACGTTTCCATCATTTCTAATAATCATGTTATAGTATAATGTGTTCATATATCAATTTACTTACTTGTACACAAATGTTAATGTATATATTGAATGTCAGATATTTTTTATAATACTGTAAGTGTTCGATATATCTAAAACAAATTATTCTCTATAATCTAATGGATCGTTAATTATATGAACATAATATAAGTTATTATTTCATATTTTAATGATACAGTTTAGTCTTTGTTTTTATTATGTAATTAATTTTTAAAAATTAATCAAAAAGATCAATTTGGATATCCTTTTGTGCTATTTAAATACCCCAGTACCAGGATTTTATTTTTCTGATTGTTAAAAAAAAACTTTACTCTAGATGACGAATGTTTTGTTGCTTATTTCAAAGGAAACGGTTGGTTGAGGTAAATGTGTGTAGGTATAACTCCTCTGAAATTTCAAGGCATAAGTGGATCTATCCTTATGGGTTTTTCGGGGTAGTGCAAAATATTTATAAATAGGCCTACATATGTTGGGGAGCTAAGCATTTATGTCCCTTCCAACACCCAGTTTTAGCTATAAAAATATGCATTAAATAAAACTGGTAACAATACATTTTGTAAATAAAAATAAAAATCGGGCCTATATGAAAATTACATTTTGTCAAAGGATATTTAAACTTTTGATAGCTTTACTCTTTTTCCAAACTCTTCCTCCATTTTGGTGGAGGGGGTAGGGGTATCTCTCTATATCCGCATCAAATATCTGCCTGTTTGAAAGAACGTTTGTTTGACAGTTTGACACAGTGAGAGGGAGTTCATCTCTATACCCGCATCAAATATCTGCCTGTTTGAAAGAACGTTAGTTTGATAAAGAGAGAGGGGGTTCATCTCTATACCCGCATGTGTTTGACACAGAATATGCTTCACTAAAATGTTTGTGTTTTTCAACACCAGCAGACACTTAGTTTTTCTTAACATCTCGCTTGACCTGGAAAACTGTCGTCATCGAGTTTACGCCCCAGCCTCGATCGGAACACTGACAGCGAGTGACCACCACCAGTGTATTTTTTTAAGTCATCGACATCACACCGTCAAACGTAATGGCACCACACATACACTATATCTGCTTTATCTACCTGCTCTATCTACCTGCTCTACCTGCACTATCTACCTGCTCTATCTACCTGCTCTATCTACCTGCTCTACCTGCACTATCTACTTGCTCTATCTACCTGCTGTACCTGCTCTATCTCCTCTACGTGGTCTATCTACCTGCTCTATCTACCTGCTCTATCTACCTGCTCTACCTGCTCTATCTACCTGCTCTATCTGCTTTATCTACCTGCTCTATCTCCTCTACCTAGTCTATCTACCTGCTCTATCTACCTGCTCTATCTACCTGCTCTATCTACCTGCTCTACCTGCACTATCTACTTGCTCTATCTACCTGCTCTACCTGCTCTATCTCCTCTACCTGGTCTATCTACCTGGTCTATCTACCTACTCTATCTACCTGCTCTACCTGCTCTATCTACCTGCTCTATCTGCTTTATCTACCTGCTCTATCTCCTCTACCTGGTCTATCTACCTGGTCTATCTACCTGCTCTATCTACCTGCTCTACCTGCTCTATCTACCTGCTCTATCTGCTTTATCTACCTGCTCTATCTCCTCTACCTGGTCTATCTACCTGCTCTATCTACCTGCTCTACCTACCTGCTCTATCTACAGAGCGTGCTAAGGGTTTAATAACTAAAGCAGTGTGCTTCCTGTACATTTCAAAGGACGGTCAAAGTGCGGTAGATTGTTTAAAAATAATTTGGATAACGACGACGTTGAGTGGCAAAGATGTAACAGGTGGTTGTGAATAAAGAGTAGTGTGATGTAGATGTTCACGGGTTCACGGGTTCACTGGTTTACATCATGCTTCATTACATCAGATGGATGCCACAGTAGATAAGTTTAAAGTAAGGTTACCATATGTTTATCTATCCTAATATACAGAAGCCCAAGTGCGCACTTCTCTCTCTTTCTCTCTCTCACTCTCTCTGTTTGCAAGTTTTTTAGGCGATGTGATCAGTATGTTCAACGATATATGGAGAACTTGAAGATACGGATTTTTGTTTAGAATAATATGAATGATGTCCTAAATGTACAAACTAAATTTTATTTAAAGAAGGAAAATAAAAATAAAGGTATTTTTCAGTGTAGAAACACAATTTTAATTATGCAACCGGAAAAGCGTTTATTGTTGTGAAAAGAACGCAATAAACAATGACGTCACATGCCACATGTTTTAACTACAGAAAGTATACAAAACTAATGGCGTCATCTTCCGATTTTAGAATATGAAGAAGAAAACTATTTCATTCAAATTTGATTTAGATCTATAGATCTACTTATCAAGACGTACGCTA